CGTCATAGGGAGGTAACGAAACTTACTGTCGATAGATGTAAGCCATCATCCTGGTTTGTTGTCGGTATGGGGGATTGCCGGGGTTGGCAAATCAACTCTCGTCAGGACCGTTTATTTATTACAAGCAAATGCTTCACTCAGCGGATCCGTTCAGCACCCCGGCTATTATTGCCAAGCATTTGGTTGGGTGGACGTTCCCAGTCCGTTCAGTTTGACTGAATTTGCTTGGCGCTTGCTTCTCGATCTCTATCCTCAAGCCAAGCAAGCTGCAACAATTACTAGTATGACGGAAGAAGGCCAAGACCCGACTCTACAGTGCCGTAAGATTCTTCAAGATATAAGATGCTTGGTTGTCATCGATGGCCTGTGCTCCACGCAAGACTGGGATTTGATCAAAGCCACCTTCTTAGCTGAGCCTGCTATTAATACAAGAGGCTCTATTGTTGTCATCACAAATGAAGAAAAAGTCGCAATGCATTGTGTGCAAAATGACAAGAAACGTGTAGTCAACGTCAGACGTCTTGAAGCTGATGCGGCCCTTAACCTCTTCCGAAAGGTGTGTTTATTTACTCCCCAAGCATTGATCGATCGAGCAGTACGTCTTTCTAATCTGCATTCATGTAATATGAAATTATGCATACTAACCATACAATATTCACCATCAAAGTCTCATAGTCCATTTCGTCGTCCAACATTATGAATGTTAATGTTTGTCAAGTTCAATAATGCCTAGCTGACTCTGTATGCAGCTTAATTTCTTCAAGATGTGCCCCCCAAAGATTTGTACACCCTAGCGAGATGTTACACAAAACCAAAGATACTCCATATCCCAGTACTACTGTGGTTGTTAAGAAAACCTGTTGTTGCATTAACTTATTATTGCATTACTTCCTCCGAATAAGAAACTTAATGCGTTATCTGAGGTGGCGATTTGGCCCATTGCATATTAGACCATTAGTTCTCGGGGGAAAATAAACACCACCTAAAATGATAACCCTGATAGTTAAACCTTGAGCTTGCTATCGGTGATGAATTCGACTTAAGTCTTGATTTAACTTTCTTTCTCCTCCAGTTAAAATTTCATTACTCAAACTAGGATGATTTACATTTTGAATATGTATATATTTCAATATTTGTTTTATTTTTTGGACTGTAGATAGCTTCGAAAGACATACCTCGAGATGCGGAGATTGAATATGTATATATGTCATAATTTGTTTTGTTTTGTTTCTCGATTGTAGATAGCATGGGAAGGCAAGGAATTAGATCCTCAAGAGATCAAGGTATCAAAATCTATTGTCGCCAAGTGTGGCGGGCTGCCCAAAGTAATAACTGCCATAGGCGAAGTGTGCAGATATAGAGGCAGATGGTGGTTGCAGTATTTGAGTGACAACTTTATGGGCACACTGGAGAGGGATCCAGAATTCCATGGGTTAAGACCCCTGTTTTCTTGGATGCACTCCTGCGTTGATGCTTGCTCAGATTCAATCAAGCAATGCGTTTTCTACCTGTCAATCTTTCCTCCAGAGAAGAACATCAGGTTGCGGCGTTTGCTATGGAGGTGGATCGCAGAGGGTTACTGCAGGGACACTTCCGATGGTAGAACTTCTGAGGAGATTGGGGGAAAATTCATCTCTGAGCTGGCCAACTGGATCAATATCCTGCAGTCATCAAGCAATAAGGGCTTATGTCAAATCGATGGTTTCTTCCATGAGTACATCTCTCAGCGAATGGAAGATAACCGTGTCTTTGCATTGGAGGGGCATTGCAGCCTCAACTCGCAACGTGGTGGACAACACCTCACCATAAGGAGCAGCTGGGACAGAAACGAGGTTGTATATGAGAGCATCGATTTTTCACGGCTGCGGTCCTTGACTGTTTTTGGGGAGTGGAAGTCATTCTTCATCTCTAACAAAAAAGTGAATATGAGACTGCTTCGGGTGCTGGATCTTGAGGATGCAAAAGATGTAAAAGATGAACACCTTGAGCGGATTGCCAAGCTACTGACTCTGGATGTCAAGTTTCTCTCACTACGAGGCTGTAGAGACATTACTCGTCTGCCGAGTTCAATGGGTGGTCTGAGGCAGCTGCAGACTCTGGACGTCAGACACACCCGTGTAGTAACATTGCCACCAGTTATCACCAAGCTACAGAAGCTACGGTACACTCGTGCCGGCACAACAACTGAAGCGTGGGATTGGGAAGGTGATGTCCTACTACTACCAGCAGATGGTCAAGTCACAAACTTAGCCGCGACGGCAGTAACACCAACAGGAGGAGGTTGGGATGATAGCACGGCATCATCATCAGCACAATCAGTCACAATCTTACCAGCAGCGGCAGCAACAATTGAAGCAACACCAACAGAAGGTGGTACCAATAGCACGGCCCCGGTTCTCCTGCCACCAGACGCAGGCAACAACAGGCCACGTGCTTTGGTATCCAGCTTCATGTCCAAGTTGTGCAGACGCGGCGGCGGTGGACTTGATGATAATATTGGACCTGTAGCTGGTGTTACGGTTCCTGCAGATATTGGAAAGCTGGCTGTCTTGCATACTCTTGGTGGTGTCAAGGTCAATGCTCAGGCCCCGTTTAGATCCAAAAATTTTTAGATTTTGGCTCACTGTAGCATTTCATTTATATTTGGTAATTAATGTCTAATTATGGACTAATTAGGTTCAAAAGTTTCGTCTCGCGATTTCTCAACCAACTGTGCAATTAGTTTTTTTTTTCGTCTACATTTAGTACTCCATGCATGTGCCGCAAGATTCGATGTGACGGATACTACGCAAATTTTTTTTGAATCTAAACAGGCCCTCGATGTGGTAATAAGGCCATCTTCCAGGAGCTCAAGAAGCTTACCCACCCAATTGCGCAAGCTCTGCGTGTCTGGCATCAACAAGGGAAACATCAAGGAGTTCTGTTCTGCCGTCTCTGGTCATGCCCATCTCAAATCTGTGTCGGTGGAGCTTGACAGGGATTATGGCAACTTGGATGACATCACCCAGCTAGTCTGGATCAGGATCGGGGAGCTTTCCATTAGGCGAAAGCTCAAGCTTGATATGACTATAGCAAAGCCAGAGGAGTTTCCAAACCCTCAAGATGCACGTAAGATACTTCTCATACATCATCTTCGGATCAGGCCGATCCAAGGCGGTGGCCTCCACATTGGCCGCAGCTGGAGAGAAGCCCGGGTTGTCGAGATTCAGTGTAGGGCCTTGTTTAGATACCTTCAAAATTCCAAGTTTTTTCTCTCTCTCTATCACATCAATTTTTAGCCGTTTGTATGGAGCATTAAATATAAGTAAAAAAAATAACTAATTGCACAGTTTAGTTGGAAATCACGAGATGAATCTTTTGAGCTTAGTTGGTCCACGATTGGACAATATTTACCAAATAAGACGAAAATGCTACTATTCATCGGGTTGAAATTTTTTTCAATCTAAACAAGACCTAGCTCCATATTACATATAAAGTTTGATGATCTGGACCTTGGTTGGTGGAGCGTTGGGGTGCTCAAAGTCCACTTGTCCCGGGGATCACAGTCATCCTTGCAGATTTCTGGGCTAAGTAATTTGAAGCTTCTCAAGGAAGTGTGGCTCAAGGGATACACCGACGCACACAAGCAATACATGCAGCGACAAATTGACCTGTTGGAGCGTCATCAGAGACCTGTGCTGAAGCTTGTGCAAGCACGCTCGTCCTGATCCACTGCTTTCCTTTTTTTTTCCTTGTATAGTATAATAAATAAATAGCCGAACCAATCCTTTTCAAATAGTAGTATTATTTGATTCCGTGATCAAATAATAGTATTACTTCAAATAGTCGTATGATTTAATAGTATCAAATAATAGTATTATCTGGAGGCCTGCGTGCCATGCAACGCTTAAATGCATTCTTCTTGCTTCTTCTTTCATTTCGTCGCTTAAATGCATTCTTCTTGCTGCTTCTTTCATTTCGTCGCTTAAATGCAACGCTTAAATCTGCTGCATGACCGCATACCAATATCGATGGCAAAGATCAAAGTTCCAATCATAAAGCTGAGACGTACTATTCTGTTAATAAATTATTCACTTTTAAGTTTCAAGGCATCGTTGCTTGCTTTACATAATCACAGAGTACTTATATAGCACTCTCTTTCCGTAAAAGCATATGAAACTTCATAATACAACTCATGGTAAGAGTTTGGCTGCATACTTGTCTCTCGCATCGTGATGCACATCCAGGGATCCACAGACCACAGTACAAGAGCACATGCCCTTAAGGGCAAAAAAAAAAACTGCTTCACTGACAATCAGGTCCTATATCCACAGTTCAGAGAGCATCAGCAGAAACTTTCTTCAGAGTTCACGTGCTCACGGCACGCATTCACTGCTACTCAGATTGCAGACCAACTCCGTACTGATCAATCACCATAACTAGCACTTCATCAAAAGGGTAGGAGGGGTCAGCATCCAAAATGTTTGCTTTTGCAGGAAACAGTGGCACACGCAGGCCAGGCATGAGGTTAGTGCCCGGCACCAAAGTTCGCTTTCAATGAAAACTAGTCTGCAGTGTTCAATACCAAAACGATCTTACAGGACACAGTGCAACTACAAGCACAGCATTGCCATATTCATTCATAAATCAGTTTCCATTAGGAATTAAGTCATTAACTCTGAACAAGAGAGTTCAACAAAATCTGATTTCCATATACAACAACATAACAGGTCAGAGATCAGCAACCCTGCAGAACCTCTGTTCAGTCTACACTAGGTAACTGCACCAGCCTACAGCAACTTACATTACGCTGCAAGCAGGAAACAATAGTAGTACACATACACGGCCAAAAAAAATCTCTCCTCTTTTGCAGGCAACAAAAAATGGCAGGCACACTGGAACATTACGCTGCAAGTTTCAAAGGAAGCTTCATTAAGGGCCGTGTGCCACTCGAGTCTACTGTTCAGGATCAATCAATCTTGAGTCAAATTAGCTGCAGACAAATATCTCGTTGGGTTGGGTTATTCGACTTTACATCTTTTGTATGGCACGAATCCCCTTAGCGGTGGTTGGTCTCTGCTGCTGCTGCTCGGCTTCACTCTTACGAAGGCCGAGTTTGCGCTCGGTTTCAGCTCAACACTCGGACCGGACTCTGGTGTCTGAACTGGCCCAAGTGACTCCTTCACAACTTTGCAGTTGGTAGGGGTTGTCGTCTGAACATTGCCCATGCAATCTGAACTAGATTCAACCGATGGGCTTTTGCTGGTATCACTCTCACTGGCACCTTCGTTATGCAGCCCTGTGCCAAACCCTCTTGGATGGCCGACCGGAAAACCATAGTAAGGCCACCATATATGAAGAGGGGAAATCCTAGCATCCCCCGACTCATACATATGAACAGGGAAAGAATGGAATGGTAGAATCCATCCATTATGGGAAGGGTATGCTGCCACGCCTCCAACTGAGGATGCTTGCAACATTTCTTGTGTAGAAGAATGAGTGTCTTTCTCACCATCTCCATCTCCAGCTCCAGCTCCCCCATCCGAGGAACAAACTTTCTTTGGGTCTGGGATGATAACTGTCTTCCCAAAAAGCTTCAAACTGGTTTCTTGGACTCGTGATGAACCTTCTTCAGACAACTCACCGTCACTGTTGTCCTGCTTTAATTCCTGTAATCGAAACATACCAGACCACATAAGCAAACATGCTCATTTGTCAGGTTAGCCCATTTGAAAACACAATCGAATAGGATGAATGTTTCTTTACCTGAGGGGATCGATCATCTTCTATTTGCTGAGTGACTAAATTTTCCTCCCCATTCACTACCTCAGCGACATTATTCCCATCATCCGATGACGCAGGGGACGTACACCCCGTTGACGGGTTTGATACTGATGATCCAAAAGCATCCGACTGCATCGCAGACAACACCGACACAGGTGAACCATTCTCTTGGTCAGAACCAGATGATGATGAAATAGGAGCATTCTTCGGTTCGCCCATTGGAGGATTTGCCATGGTGGTGGAGTCAGCACACTTGCGAGGGTATGGGTGCAGTGGTTTTCTCTTTGGCCTAGGGGGTGGGATCTCAATTGCATTACTTGCCCCAGGTTCACGCACCACCTGCACAGTTAGTAAATCAGCATGAGAAATAGGAGAGAATAATCAGTAGTCAGAGGTAGCTGCTAGAAAATCTCATCTGTACAAGCACATGTAATGGTATACTAATGTGAATGCAGTAGTAGCAACTAAATTAAACACAGGCACATGAAAGCACCTTGGAGAAAAACTTCTGAGCGTGGCTCCGAATCTGGACAGCAGTCTTTGTGCCAATGTGTTCTAAAGAACAGTTTGGACAAATCAGAAAACTAATCACCACCAATGTGCTCTAACGTAAGGTCACACATGAATTCTACACGCACCTTGTATCTGGCGCCACGACCGACCATAAAGCTTCAGAGCCTCCAGGAACTTCCCATGCTCTTCCTCTGTCCACTTCTCTCGCTGTTTCGTGATCGTGTAAGGCTTCCGAGCCTACTTGAATCAAGGCAGGTGTTCATTAGGCATGGTGAATTTGTGACAGTGCTATAAGATAGCCCGCGCCCACACTCAAAAGAACCAACTAGCATTTGCATACTGATGTCAAAAGTGGGACAAGAAATGGGTACCTTGACAGGATACCCATCCGCCCCCTCCTTGGGTTGCATCGCATCATCCACCAGGGGAGATTGGACAGCATCCGGCAGCAGCGTTTTGTCAATTGGCAGACCAGCTGAATCCAACACATTTCTTTCCTGGAAGGAACAGGAAACAAATATTGGTGCTTGTCTTTTAATGAGTCAAAATCATGCGAAATTTTACCATGCAAAAATGTCCAGATTTGAGCTTGCTAAAGGATCTGATCCCTCAAACGACATCAACTTAGGAGTCAAGGCATGTAAAGGAGCTGGTAATAATAGGTTGGGTGGGAGCTGCTAAAGCTGAACTTTGCCTATTGGCTTATAATGATTCACTGATGGATTAAATGAAAGACAAGTTACCATAGTAAAAAGGGAAATGAGTACAGTACAAAAAACTACCAGAAGTGGTAAACACACATTTTATTATTATTTTTCCGAATTAGGCATTGTACCCTTCCGTGTGTGCCAGATATCTTTAATTATGTACTTGGCCATCTCGTTCTAGAACCCTCTAGGGATACCATGATTGGCGTGCAACCCAAACCCGAAGGAAAACAGCACATTTTTTTAAGAGGGCAATAAAATACTGGCACTTAAAAACAATTTTTTTTACCAAAAAATCCACATGGGAAATATATTTAGAAAGGAAATCTGAAACCCAATCGGCACAACAAAAAAAAGCACCGCTCCTACTTGTTCATTCACCACGCCGAAAAAAGGGGGAGATTTACACAGACGCGAAGTTGCCAACACCGACAGGAAAGAATCAAGCGAAGTGGGGGAAAAGGAGTGAGATGTTCACCTCGACCTGCGCCATGGACGCCACGAGGCGGGCCCGGAGCTCAAATCTCCGGTTCCCCTTGCTTCCCCTTGGCAGGCTCGTGCGCACGGAGGAGAGCCCAGCGCGGGAGCAGGCGGCGCCGGCGGCAGCAACAGAAACCGGAGGCCGAGGTTGTGGAAATTCGCTGCCTTCGCGGCCGGGATCGCCAAGGAGGCACTAAAAATCGCTTCTTGCCGGCCAGAAAACAAACTCAGCAGGAAAAAGGAAGAAATGGAAAAAATCGGACAGCCGCGGGGAGAATCCGGAGAGCCCGGAGGCAGGGAGGGAGACGCGGCGTAGAGGAACCGGTGGAGCCTCACCCTGGCTGGCAAGGCAAGGGAAGCGGAAGGGAAGGAAATGGGAATGGAAATGGCGAGAGAGAGGAGTGGGAGCGGCGAGATTTTTGGGGGCAGGGGAGGGGACGGGAGGCGGGCCACGTCGGACGTGGGGCCCTCCTGTCAGGGCCGGAAATTTCCAGAAGACCCAGGGATCTAGTGGCTGGGGACGCCCCGGGAGGAGAGGGGGCCCACCTCCGCCCTCTCCGGATATTTTTTCGTTCTGGCCCCTCTGTTTTTCCTTTTGGAGAGAGGGTCCCTTTTTCCCCATTCCCGGTGCAGGGTGGTTGGTGGTTATCCATCTCATCCGTAATACAGATTATTCAGTATAAGATTCCAACGAAATTCATTCAGTTCCTCAAAAAGCAGCAGAAAAAATACAGTAAAGTAAAGATCTCGTATTTGAATTTTAGAATTTCCGAGATTTTTGTTTTATTTTCGAGATAACAATATAGACGGAGATAGGCATACATACACTACATTAAGTTTGTCTAATTTTAGGATTGGCCAACTAAAATGATTGGTGCGTATATAGGCTTCTCGTGTGATCCACATGTTGAAAATAGAGCGGGAAGCAGCACAGGAAAAAGAAAAACCCTTCAAATATCTGCAGCCGTTCAAAGAGGAGAGGCTGTGCAGATATTTCTTTTTTTGGATAAACTTGACCCCAGTTATTTATTTATTTAGATAGAAAGGAAGAAAAAGAAAGTAAGCACGAGTGAGTGGCGTTTCCCCCTCCCTCCGCTCTGTCCATCCACGCCAGTCGTCGCTCGTGCTACTTCTGGCCACAGGAAATTCCAAGAGCATTTTATATTTGCATTTATATTTATTAGAAAAAATACAATAATATAGTACACTGTGCTGTGCAGAGGAAGGGAAAAAAAAAAGAGAAATTCGTGGCGGCAAAAGCGTGGCCACAAGTATCTCCGTCCCCCTTTTCCCGCTGCGCTTTTTCGCAGCCACGTCACGCCACGTGTCCACCCCGCCACCCACACACCACCCAACTTGTGGCCGGTGTTGCGTTCTCTGCCAAAGCATCCCTGGCCACAAGTTTATTTTAATTTTCTCTTTTGTTTCTCTTTACTAGCAAGCCTGTTTGGCTGTCTAGAGTCAAGATTAGAGTTTAGAGTGATGTGCAAAGCTTAGTTAATCTCCATTAATAATTAACCCATCTGTCAATTGGAGCAGTCATCCACTGAGCCTAGCAAACCCTTTCATTTCATTTTTATTCTTTCTTTTTTTTTACTCAAGCCATATGAGTATTTTTTTTCAAAAACAAGTCTGGCAAGAGAGTGACCGGTTATAGGTACCGATTTCTTTTGACAAATATAGGTACTGATTTATGTAGAGGCGGAAGTAGTAGATAAACTTGGACAGAGCAACAACGACCTCAATGGGTCCAGCAACAGTACAACTAAAACCATACAGATATGCTTATTAGAGATAGCGATGTGTGCCATTCTAGTAAAGGCCTGTTTGGAATGCCGTAAAACCTTTTATGTTGCTATATTTTTTCCCTATAAACTGATTCTTGCAAAAATTATTTTGCGATTCGTGCTAAGCTCATGTGGTGCAAACTGACCCTAAGTCAACCAAAATCTGACTAGAATTGCAGTGTCAAGCTTTTCAACTTAAGTTTGGTTGGTTGAGTTGAGTCTAATGCATGATGCTCAGAATATCTTGGACCATTTATCCGAAACATGTATGCATGACCACCCTCAGCTATACACAACTTATGTCACACATGCACCAGAGATTTTGCTGACAAATTTGTGGACGCAAGATCGACAGGTTGCAAAGCGCAGTTCACAGAAAAAGAAGAAAAAAACATCCTGTTTGGAAGTTTTTGATATAGTACATATATGGAGTGGAACAAAAAAAACAAGAAGATGAGTGTACAAAGAGTGCGGACCATTAATTGGTTCAGGGGATAATCAAGAATATCCAGCCCCACACCGGAGGATTGGTTTCAAAGGCACACGTATACGTGACTAGTTTTTTTTTTTTACAATTATACGTGACTAGGCTTAGTAGGTGCATGAATCCAGCTATTTATTTATATATTTATATAAGCGTTGTTCAGTTCAGTTAGAGATTTTGGAATCCTGTGGGAAACAAACATGCAGAACCCCAGTTTTACTACTCTCTCCATCTTAAATTAGGAGGCATTTTAGTTTTTCTAAGCACGTAGTTTTTGTTATCTACTTACATAATAGAAGTAATGTATCTGAAAAGTCGAAACGTCTTATAATTTAAAACTGAAAGAATATTTCTCATGTTAACACAGCGTCAGGCTATTTTTTTTTTGTTTGGCCAAACCACCCACCAGATGGGAAAACGCGACACTTGGGTTGTGTTATTTCTCATGTTTTCTTATGCGGTAATGCTAGGAAACCGACGTCCGGACGGACCGCTCTGTGCGCCCGCGTGCTCTGCGCACCGCGCCCCGCCCATGTCGTTACTCCAGGTTGCACCGGCTGCTCAGTGGGCCCGGTTATATTTTAATCCACGGACACAAGACAAATATGTGCATGTAAACGTATGTACGGAGGAATCATCAGAAGTTTAGAACGTGAAAACGTGACATACATGTAAACTAGAAGAGATCGTAATCGACATGCATGGAGAGTTGTACTGAATGACCAGCTAGAGCAACGTATGGCCACCGTCTGCATGTGCACAAAAAGTGCCTTTGGTCAAAAATTAATTATAGACGTCAAATATACATGAACGTCATCATATTGCGAGTCAACTTAACATGGTTAACAAAAATAGCAACCATTTCCGTATGGGCACTGGTATGTTAGAGCCACATATAAAATATTTGTATGGCCGGCTTAATAATTTATTTTGCCTGATTAACCATAGTCAATAATGTGCCAAAATTTCATCATGCAGTATCTTTAACGATAATGCTACAAAGCGGGCGTCCGATCGGACGGATGGACAGCTCCGCGCGCCCCTCCCGCCTACGTCGTTTCTCACTTCGGCCCGCGCGGATTCGCCCCAGCCGTCACGCGCCTCGCTGCTGCGGCCGTCTCGCAGGGCCACCTCCACCGCGCCAGGTCGTCACGGCGCCTGCCCATGTTGCACTAAAGCGTATGTTGTAAACATTTTTTTTGCAAATTACACAAGTACAGACGCAGACACTCAACACGGACATACACTCACCCCTATGAATACACGTACGCAAAATCTACCCCTATGAGCACCTCCGAAAGACTGTGTAAGCGTGTTTCAGATGTTCTAGATGTATGTTGTAAGTATTCCATATGGATGTTGCAAAAAAATAGATCTGGATGTTGCATATGTTGCAATGGTCATACACGTATGTTGCGAGTGTCTATTCAAAATATTTTATCTACTTCAGACGTATGTTGCTAGTGTTTTATCTGAATGTTGCATATGTTGAAGTGGCTATACACATATGTTGCAAGAGTATGTTCCAAATGTTTTATCTGCTTCAGACGTATGTTGCAGGAAGTGTTTTCATGTTGCAAGTGTTTCATGAGTAGACGCAGGCGGTCCCCGCAAGCAAGGCGGTCCCTGTGTGCGCAATACGGATGTTGCAAAAGTAGATCTGGATATCGCATCGTTGCAATGGCTATACATGTATGTTGCAAGTATCTATTCAGAATGTTTCATTTACTTCAGACATATGTTGCAAGTGCTTTTATCTAGACGTTGCATATGTTGCAGTGGATATACACATACATTGCAAGCGTATGTTCCAATGTTTCATCTGCTTGAGACGTATGTTATAGAAAATGCTTTCATGTTGCAAGTGTTTCGTGAGCAAGCGCATACGATCCTGTGTGTACATGTGTTTCATTTTCATACAAGGTCCATAGTTGGATGTTGCAACGTTAGTTGGGCAACAAAATAAAATGTAATCTACATAACGTCTAACAAGATATGTCGGTGATGCCATCCCCTCGCGGAGGTAGGGAAGGTTGTTCAGGATGCGGAATTAAAAAAAGAATAATTAGCGGGCCACATAAAAAGATATTTTTTGTGTATATAAATAATTAACATGACATATACTAAAATAACTTTTGCAAATAGATGGGATCCGATTTGTTCGGAAGTCCGAGCGGTAGTGGTGCCATTTCTTATGTCAGGTTGGGTTTAGTTGGGCTTTAGGTCAATAGGTTACAACCTTTAGTTTGCTCAGTCCCATAGTTGTCTCGGATTACAAATTAGGGTCCAAAAACTCCAAACCCACTCGATGCATTAAATGAATCCTTTTTTTTTAACCGATCGGGCTGGATCGGATGGCTCGTAAATAGATCTAGCCACGCGAAAGTGATAGGATGGGATCTGTTCGGCTGCACTAAAGCAGCGCTACAGTGCTCCACTAAGGACACTTGCCGTCACAGTCGCACAGCTGCAACAAACAGATCCACAGGCTAAACTCTACAATTGGCTTGGAACCTTTAGCCCGTGTTTAGTTGCGTGAATTTTGGAATTTAGTCTACTGTAGTATTTTTGTTTTTATTTGGTAATTAGTGTTCAATCATGGACTAATTAGGCTCAAAACGTTCGTCTCGCAATTTCCAACCAAACTGTGCAATTAGTTTTTTTTCGTCTACATTTAATACTCCATGCACGTATCGCAAGATTCGATGTGATGGGTACTGTAGCACTTTTTGGGAAAAGTTT